TCCCATTTCTGGATCAACATTTAAGTAAATATGCTTATAGCCAGGCTACAGAAAATCTGAGCATTGTGACCACTGATTTTTTTTTTTTTAAAGAAGCCTTCTTTGATAACTGGCATCCAGGTAATAAATAGTATTTTCCACTACAAAAGATGTAATGCATATTTTTCTCATCCATGAAAAGAAAATGTCTCAAGACATCAATACATCCAACTAAAAAAACTAGCGGCCAATCCCTGAGATTTTTTAATTCTTGCATGAGTGGGGAAAAGCAATCATCTATTTTCACAATTAGCACTCTCAGCAAAACCCACTGTATTTTGCACAAAAGATTATTTTACGTAAAAACGCTTACATTTTATGTAAAACAACCTTATGTTTTGTGCAAAATACAATAGCTCTTGTGTGAAGCACATACTTTTTCATGAAATGTTTTTGTGCAAAACGCACTTCTGGAACTCTTCAACAAAAAAGTCCTCGAATTTGAAATGCACAAAAATTCTTGTAATCCTGCTCAGTACAGAGAAAACTTTTGAAATGTTTCACTCTCAAAATAAGCAAAGATTAACATCCTTATATGTTACAGCTGGACATAATGCTGCACCATTCCAAACTGAGTGGGATGAAACTTGTGTAGCAAAAGACTACTGCTTAGTTTGCTTTTATCTTGGTACTTGGGGCTGCAGTGTACCTCTGAAAATTCCACACACATAGGCCAGAATATTCTTGGAATTTTACTCCAAGGTAAATGAAATCATTTGGAATAAAATCTCACAATGATTCTGGCCATTGCCTCCAACTCCTACAAGATCTTAGCAAGGTTAATGCAAAGAAAAGTAACCCTATACTTACAAAAGGGGAGTAACTTAGCTTAAGTTTTCGATATATTTTCTTCTACATTGTTTTTGAAAAATGCAATATTCCTGAATATCAAGCTGAAGAATATTTTAGACTTCGGGCAAAATTTGTTCAATTGATGAATTAATTATTTTTGCCATCATTTTGTTACCTCCACTATTGCCCTGTCCTATACTACTGTTAGTCTGCTTTTTATTACATATGTGATCATTAAAAACTTGTATTATTAAACATATTTTTAAAAAACTGAACATTTAGGCAGTGATGAAACCCTGTATGATATTCTAGTACTATACTTACAAAGAATCCTAGGAATAGCAAAATTTCTTTATATCTCCCTCTTTCTTATTTTCCAAATGCCTTTGTAACACTTCTTTTGCTATTTAGCACCACTCAGTTGTAGTGTTATTTCAATTTAATATGATACAATGAATAAAAGATTGGGCTTACAATGGGTAAAATAACCTAAAATCCTAGCCAGGATTCAAACTAAGTAGCATTGGAGCAAAACAGATTTTTTGACTATCCATGTTCCAGTTTATTATCCTGTTCTACTGAAGAAAATTCCCTTGTCTGAACATAATGGAGAAATAGGGGAGATAGGCGGGGGGGGGGAGGCTCACTGCCATAGCACTTGTTTCTGATTTTCCAAATTATTGTTTCTACTGCAAGGAACAAAACACTGAAATCCAGCCAGAACTGAATTAATTTAATATACCCATTGCCACAAGCACAGAAGATGGTCCAAAACCACATGACAAGCTAAGAAGGGATGTAACTAGATGGGGATTTGTCCTGTTGTTTAGTCCATTCTAAGGATGGTCCAGTTCACCTCTTTTCCCAGTGACCACATCAGGTATGTGCCATCTTGAACCGGCTCATCGCTGAAGAATGCCTACCCCCCATCCACCTTTTTATTTCTCTGGCTGCCTGGTGTTTTTTTGTTTGTTTGTTTGTTTGTCTTTGTGTTTTTTGGGTGACGGTAAGATTGCTCTGTTTTGGTTTGCTTCCACGACATGTGATGTGAGGGGGTTGCTATGAGCACCTAGACAGACCCTCTGCCCCCTCTCCATACCACCTAGAGAGGCCAATGGGAAGTGCAACCCCTGGGCCTCAGGAGGGTGCAGAGGATGGGAGGCAAGTTTCAGACACAGAACAGATATCTTTGTCGATACAGTTGTAGCAAAGGGATGTGACCACGGTGGCGGGGCTTCATCTTTGGTCCTCTTACACCCCCTTCCACAGCCCACTTCTACCAGGCATCCAACAGGACCATCTGCTCCAACTTTGACACAGCAGTGGTGCTGGAGGTGCAAACAACAAAAACAAAGGCAGTGTCAACTCCAAGAGGGGCTGTGGAGTCACAGTGGATCCCCCTTGGCTTGTTATACAGGCCATTCCTGAAGGGAGCCAGGTAGACTGGGACTACATTAATGCCTCTGCTGAAAGTCAGATCATCCCAGTTGAGCTAACTGAGGGGTGAGCAGAAGAGACATTATCCAAGGAGCTAATGTCAGAAACCCAGCTCCCCCAGAGGCTCGAAAGGCTGGGCCGAGGGAGGCAGGCCCACAGTTTTTGTAATCTCTGTCCAGATTTCAATAAACTCAAGTTCTGATTGCAACAACTGTGGCCCTGCAGAGCTCACAGTTTGAGATTTTTAATTGTTTCCATTAAAGGGAGAAAGGGCCACTGCTTGAGGTGCAGTATAGTTTTCTGACCTGAAATCACCCAATTCTTGCATGTGGACGCAATATGGATGCAAGGATTGCATTAACTGGCGTACCACAACTCTATGCAACCTTACACAACCCTACTTAGCCAGCTCCAGTCCACTCTAGCTTGGCCATCTAGTCTTGTCCCAGGGTATGTTTATTCATCATGTAGCTGGACCTGAGTTGTAGACTACATAAGAGCCATCTGTGAGATTCTCTAAACTTCAAGGATGAAGCACTGGAAAAAAAAATTGAAACTAACCAAGAAATAAATAATAAATAAGATCCAGTGATAGATACTGGCTTAGAATAGTCCGCATTCGACAAGAAAAGGCCTATGAAAAGAATAACTTGATGATCTTCAAACTTAAATTTTGGCATGAATTTTAAAACCAATTTATTAAAGCAAATTGTAGAGCAGAAGCAGTCTACTGTTTTGTTGTTAGGCTGAGTTGATATGATAGCATGCTTCAAATACTTGAAAGACTGTCATACAGAGGAGGGGCAAGATCTGTTTTCAGTTATCCCAAAGCACAGCACTTATAATAATGGGCTCAAGTTACAGAAAGCCAGGTTTCAGTTGAATATCAGGAAAAATTTCCTAACTGCTAGAGCTGTATGGCAACAGAAGCAATTACTTTGGGAAATGGTGAGCGCTTCAACACTGGAGGCATTAAAAAGGAAATTAGACAACCATTTATCAGATATATTTTGATTTGGATTCCTGTACTCAGCAGGGGGTTGGATTCAATGGCTTTATAGGCCTTTTCCAACGCCATTATTTTAAGATTCTACCAAGATGGAATGACATATTGTTCCTTCTAATAGCAAACTGAGGTGACTGTGTGCAGGCAGAAGTAGAGTCAATTAGAAAACAGAGATATCAGCATATTCAAGAGAACCTCAATTTACACAGAAGTACAAAACATTAAACCTAATAGGGGTTCAAATTTAGGAAAAGCGTACAGTAACAGAGCTCAGTGGCACCTAAGAGAAGAGAACCTCAATTTACACAGAAGTACAAAATAATAGGGGTTCAAATTTAGGAAAAGAGTACAGTGGGGTCTCGACTTACGAACGACCCTACTTGCGAACAATTCAACTTACGAACCCACCCTATAGGGGAAATAAGGACTCGACATACGAACTTCCCTCGAGTTACGTACAGGAGTTACGTGCCCCCTCCCTATCCTTAGAGGCTTCTGGAGGGGGAAAAGGGGTCAGAAACTTAAAAATAAATAAAAGAAAGTCACTTAAAAGGCCTTGG